TTGATGCTTTACAGTTTAGCCGCTTAGCCAGCATGTTCTATCATTTTCTCATGACATCCGCATTGAAATATCGCCCAAACCTTGCCAGACCCTTTGGAAATGCTACCTTTTGGTTAGTTAACATATAGCTATGGTATAGATGGACCATTTATGGATGATTTACCTATATCTACCTATTAAGAATGGTGGTTTTCCGTTATGTTAACCACGGGGCATCTCCCTCCATCTCCCTCCGTCCAAGGCGTTTTCTCGGCTTCGCCTCATCTGGAGTTCGAGGTGATCCAGATGCGGCTTCAACAAATTGGATGCGATAGGCCTCAGGGAGGACATCCGTATGTAACTAGTTACGATATCTGGTGGTTATCAACTAGTGGTTAGTGGTTATCAACTAGTTACATAACTGGTTATATGATATATATGTAACTAGTTCTAGTATGGTCATCCACATTTTTGGTGGTTGAGCCACCCTACCCCTCTGACAAATCATGGGGTGAACGTCAGTTGGGATTATTAATTATTCCCAATATATGGAAAGTCCTAAAATTCCATGGTTCCAGTCACCACCAACCCTGATGAATAGCTCTTCAGAAATGATGATCCTCCACCAAGGGATTTTGGTGAGTTTTCTTACCTGCTGTCTTTGAATTCGACATCATGATGGGATAGATGACAAACATTAGCCCATATGGTACACATCTTTCTTTTGAGCTTGGATTCATAGATGTCCCAAATTCCCACTGGTTGCTTGAATTTAAAGGGCAGGTTAGCCTATGAAAACCAACCAATAGGCCAATAGGCCAATAGGCCAATAGGTAGGTGATAATAAATAATAGATCGAACCGACCCCTCTATGTTTCCAGACAAGTACAATATTGTAGTGGATAGCATGAGGAATTTGTCATTAATTGATGGTATAATGAAGCAAAAAAAATGACTAGATTAAGCGAATCATCACCAAGTGTAGTTTTTCAGACCAAAAATAGCGGCTGACCATCATAATGACCATCATCATCATCATCATCATCATCATCATCCGCAAAGATCGATGAGCGAAATGCGAAATGCACATCTAGTTCAAAGGGAATTCCAGGATCCAAAAAAAATGGAGCTACGTTAGTACCATATAAGGCCATATTTTGGGTGTATATTCCCTGAAATTTAGGCCTCAAAAAAAGGCCAAAAATATATGGTAGGTACCTCCAATCAATCGGATCCTGAGTCATGGCCATTGACAGCAACTGATTGTCAGGATCAACAGGATCAACTCATCGAATGCATGAAAAAATCACAGCCGCCCTTTTTTTTGTTCCAATAGTTTCCAATCAAAAAAATGGAAAAAAACAACTTCGAACATGTTTTTGTTCATGATTTGTCCAATGAAAAAATGGAAAAGAAACTCATCTGAATCAATCCCTTCCCCTTTACCCTCTGGTAATTTAACAGTTTGCTATTGAAAATGGCCATAGAAATACTGGATTTACCCATTAAAAATTGTGATTTTCCATAGCAAAATGTTAGTTTACCAGAGGGTATCCAAACCAAAAAAAACAACCAGGTTCACCCTGGGTGATCCTGACTTCACCAACTGGGTGATCCTCCGATACTCCTGGAGGAGGAAATTCAACTCGTTGTAGAAAGCCTTCAGCCTAGGAGGAAGCTCAAATCCCCAGGGGGAAATCATCCATCTAGTTGGTGGTTGACATACTTACCCCTCTGAAAAATAATGGGAGTATATAATGGGATTATATAGTGGGATTATAATGGGATCATCATCAATAATGGAATTAAAATATAATAATAGTGATTATAATATGTTATAATGCCAATAATACTGGTTGGTGGTTGACCTACCCCTCTGAAAAATCTGAGTGAAAGTCAGTTGGGATTATAAAATTCCCAATATATGGAAAAATAAAATTCATGTTCCAAACCACCAACCAGCTATAATCTGGATAATGTGGGTAAAACAATCATAAACCATTCCCAAAATCACCATTTTTATGGGTGGTATTTGTTTCATTCCCAAATGGGTGGTTTAGTATTGTTTTAACCACTTTACACTCTATAGTTGGGAATGGAACCTGAAATATCTGGAGTTTCGGATATAGTGTTGAACGTACTGATAGTTTTGGTCAACGATATCTGGACATTTGTGCAGTATGGAATGTATTTTTATAAAATTGTGAGTTACTCATTGGTAAATATTTGGCTGAATTTTACAGTGCTGAGGATCATTCTCCGCATACTAACCATTCCAGTTTTACACTTTTACGTGAGAAAATCCACCCAGATCATCCATTCACCCCTGTGGCAAAACCGCTAACCCCATTATGGCCTAACACTAAAAAAATCTACCAGAAATGGGTGTTTTTGGAAACCGTTCCTAACTGGGGATCAGAACTATTGGCTTTACCAGCAAAAACATTCATGCACTTTTCCCGTCACATAGCCACTGCATGAATGTTGCAAGTTGACGAAAAAAAAGCTGGCACTCTTCGTAAAATGGATCTGCTGGGTGGAAGATGGTGGAAGTGGGACTAGGGACTCCGGGGCTGATGGTGCCCTTGTTTCCGTCCCATCAGAAACCCCAAAAGTATTGGAAGCTGGGAATAGGGGTACCATCAGCCGAAATTTCATGGATCTCTGCTGGCCGCTGGCAGCTGCTGGCGCACTTTTTCTCGCAACCGCCAGTAGAGTCTGGGAACGAACAGTTGAGGTTCCTTTCGATTCTGCTTTTCTTTGCCTTAAATATCTTAAATGAGTGATAGTTTAAGGTAACCTTCATGTTTGTCCGAAGCTTCTTTTCTGTTTCTTGCTTTACTTTCGAAAAGTCCATGCAATAGGCAGTCTGGGTGTCACATCTTAGGAACGTAGCGAAAAAATCAAACCGTTGTTGTAACAACAACCTGCGAGACATATATCGATCATTGTCGAATCATTGTTGAGTCATATTGATCTGTATATGGTGGTACCCTCCAGTAAATTAACAGTTCGACCCTGCCAGTCATCGGGGTTGAAAGACTAAGTGACTAGTTAGTTTCCACTATAAATTGGTGAGTTTCAGGGTCCAACTGTTAATTTACCAGAGGGTAATGCTTTTCACTAAATCATCTCACTCCCATCGGACCATGAATTCTGTCCGTTCCCTTCTGCATTGTACCCTTGGACCCAACTGGACCCACCACTTGCCGGCCGACTTGAACGCGTTATTCATGTTATTCGGCACCTGATTGAGCAGGAAACATCGGCTGGATCTGATGGCTGAGGCCCCCTGTTTTTTCTTCCCCATTTTTTTCAGAAAATAAACAGCTGCGGAACATTCCTGCTGCGAATCCTGAAAGTTTCCCCTCCAGTTGGACCACTCCTCATCCTCAGGCGTTTTGAGCTGACAGGCATGGTCAAGAACTGTAATGAATCATCTCTTGGACATGTAAAAAAAGTCCCGGTCAAACTGCATCTTTCAAAGGACATCGATTTCACATGTCATAGTGTTGTGATCATTGCTTCATTCCACGCTTGTGGGAATGGTGGGTTTTTCGGCATCTACATTAGTTTACCGGAGGGTATGGCGGAAAACAAAAACTGAGTCCCACTATTTACTCGTCATTTTCTGCGTCAAAATTACATTTTCCGGGGTTGCAGAGGCACCAATTTATACTTCTTGAAGGCACAAGAAATCAGTTCGAAGCCCAGGCCAGAGATGACCACACAAGGCATATCGGCAACTTGCGCCCAAGCCACTTTTGAGACAGCTGAAACGGCGTCCAATGCGTCCACACCGCTCACTTTGGAGAAATTCTCTCGAAAATCTGAGTGCAGGAAGGGATACTGCCGCAGGATGTCACATGTTTTCCTACAAAAGATTAATTAATCAGCAAAGGCCGCTATCAGCTGTATTATTGATTCCAGAACTTGAAAACCTTGAAAGGGAAACCAACAACCCAAAAAACAAGCATAATCAGTTTCACGGTGCAGGCTATAGTTTTTTTTTTGTTTTCCGCGAATGGTCCCTGAAATCAATCCAATATGATCCATAGATATCCATTGATATTCATTCACTAGTTGATGAGGCGCAAGACTCTTCAAACATATCAGAGATCGCTCTCAGAATTTGCTAGACGCTTTCGACATCGGCCCGCGGAATGTCACTGCCACATATACCGTATACTCCAACCTTTGGCCCTTGAATTTCCCCGGTTAAACCTGGAAAAGGATAGTTGAAATCTGGAAAAACTGCCAAAAATCTGGAAAAAGATCAAAAAGTCTCAGATCACAGTGATCACAGGGTGGGTTCGAAGCTGTTCCAGCTGATATTTTGAGGCTTCCGGAGCATTCCGGAGCCACACTGCCACACTTTGCCAGCCAAATGTTGCGCAGACTGTGAGAACCACCTCCCAGCCACGTTCAACCCTTTCAGCAAGAAGGATCGTTTCTGAAAAAATGGGTAGGTCCTGGATACCCTCTGGTAATTTAACATAGCTATGGAAAATCACCATTTTTAATGGGAAAATCCACTATAAATGGCAATTTTCAATAGCTATGTTAGTTTACCAGAGGGTACTCATGAAAACTATTCAGTTTCACTTTCTTACATCTCTTACATTCATATACATCCATGATGCCAAGAGAGACGCACAACATGCCGATTTTTGAGCTCATGCCAGTTGAAATTGCAGCAAACCAAACAAAATGAAGTTGAACAGTCTGAACTACAGCAGTAATTTTTGTCTACATGAACGGATTTCAAAGCCACCTGACATCACATCTATCATTGTCTATCATCCTCGACAATTCTCTTGGCCCATCTTGGCCCCGTTTCCCCCACGCCAAGTCGCTCCTTTGTGTGCCACTGGAAACTCGCACAGCGCGCAAACGCTCAACATAATGAGCAGACGAAAAACACTGATGAAACATGGAGAATGTCAGAATGTCCCATCTTAGGGCCCCTGGAAACAGCAATTGGCTGGCTTAACAGCCAGAACACTCACCAATTTTAAAGCCTACATTCCTATCAATTGAAAGCGTCGACGAATCACCGTCGACTTCACCAACCTCACCACATCCCGCGGCTCCCTGGATGTCCCTGGAGGTCCCTGGATGTTGATGTCGATCTCTCCGTAAGGCGGGAACGTTCCCGTTGACTTCGAGTTATGCCTTGGAAAGCGACCCAACGAAATCCCATGGGGATAGCATCACTGGATGCCATGGATCACGGCGCCGGCAAATGAGGCGACGGGAGCATCACGGAGATTGACCCTGACTCAGGCAAGCGAAGCTGTCAGAATGAAGCATGAAATTTCTGGAGTCCAAGATATGGGAATAGGTCAACAACCTAGAATCAAAGCATCTACACATAGAAGGTCTATGTAGAGTACCATATTTTGATATATATGTTGAAACTATGCCAGCTATTTTGGGGCCTACAGAGAACCAGGTGTTTGACCCATCATATTTAAAGGCTCGAAAGAGTCCTGCTCAAACAAACGCAGGAACCTCTGACAGTACTATGGGTCTGTGTCACAGGTGTCACATGTGTCGCATGTGTCGCATGTGCCACAACACCAAGACACCACTGGCGCTGCACAACACATTCATCACATTGGACATCGACATCGGTAGGTACCGGTCCCGATCCGATACGGATACGCCTCCTGCAATACTCATCACATTTTTCTGTGGTAATCGCAGTTTCCAGTCATGGCTCATCAGCTCAGCCACAGCAGCTTTAGCTTCCAAAGCGGGCACCTGAAGTTGGGCTCAGCAGATGGAAATTTGGCAGGTCAGCTGCAACTTGTCACGACACCTGCATCAAATACATGGCTGGTTGTCTAATTTGACTTATCATCATCCATCATCATCATCATCATCATCATCATCAATGATCACTCAACGTTCATTTAATTTCCGCCCTCCGTAGACAAAAACATAGTATAAAATCATATGTCATATAAAACCATGCGTCATATCAAATCAATCATCACGCAAAATCACAATAATATCTAAATCATATATCATATCTGGGTAAATTGTAATATGTCACTAACCTGAATCTTGCGGCCATTTGGGGATGGTTTCCCTTATTAACCATGATTTCAGGGCTCGGTCGCGGTCGTTATAATTTACCCATGTATATATATAAAGATATGTATATATATATATATGTATATATATATATAATTATATATATAATTATATATATATCTGTGTGTGTGCATGTGGGTATGTATTAACGTTATTTCTATATTCTATATTATATATATATATATATGTATATATGTCGCGCTAGCTCCCATCTTCCCCTGAGCCCCAGACGTTTCGCGGCATGTTCGTCCCAGGCGTTCCAATCCCACCAGTGCTGCGCCGGCGCCACCTGCGCCACCGGCGGCACCGGCGGCACCGGCACGGCGGGCGGCTGCGGCCCCACGGGGCGCGCCTTGGGTTTCGGAGGATGCCAGGGCACCTTGGCGAGACGAGGTGATGTTCCAGCTGAATTTCTTGGGAAAACCATGGAAAAAGCCTAGGTTTTTAGGAGATTTCTTGGGAATATGATGGAATATGGAATATACTGGGGAGATTTATGCTGGTTTTATTGGGGAAAAATGGATAAAACTGTCATCTTCGAAAAAACATGTTGGAGGGTTGAGAATTTCAACACCATATTGAAGAGATTTTGCATGCAATGCTTTGATATGCTTAGATTTCCGTGGGGCATGGCTATATTTCCAAAATATGTCATCAATATTTTGGGTGATTTTCCATTTACCCTCTGGTAATTTAACATAGCTATGGAAAATCCATTATAAACGGAGGTTTCTAGCTGGGAAAATCATCTGTAAATGGTCCATTTTCCATAGCTATGTCAAATTAAAAAATCATTCGCTTTGGGGGAGCCCTCACCTGGAGGGTTCATCAAGCCCTTCAGCCCCGGGCATTGTCCTCCCAGGCTGGCGCCGACTCCGTCGCCGGAGGTTCACTGGTCAAAGCCTGATTTCAGAATGCACTGGTCGAAATGGATTGGTTTACCCTCTGGTAATTTAACATTTTGCTATGGAAAATAACCATTTTTAATGGGTAAATCCACCTATAAATGGCCATTTTCGATAGCTATGTTAGTTTACCAGAGGGTAATACCAATCCAAAAAGTACAAGTTGGTAAAATCCTGTCAAATCATGAAAAATCTCACTGAAAGAGTGAAAAGTTGAAGAGTTTCTTATCGTAAAGCCCGGGCGTTTTTGAGGGAAATTCTTCTTCCGAAACCTCAACTTTTGGTATCTGAGAAGGGATTCCTGCAATTTTTTTTCAAATGCTGACTGCCAAGAGTGGATGTAACTACAGGCTGGATGTAAAAAAATGACGCCCTCATCAATGATCCAAGGAAAAGATCCGACTAATATCTGGTTTTGCAAACAATGTGGGTGGTTTGAACCGCTTCCACAATCACCCCTTAATTTCTACTCCTTAGGTGCGTCTGGTTCATCATGGACCATCCTCAAACGTTAATATAGATCATATAATGTGAGGCCCCCGTTCGATAGCTAAGTTGGTGCACATAACTCCAATAACTAGGACTTATGGTAGATATATCTATAGTTACTGGGGCTTATAAACCAACTTATAACTGGGGGGCCTCACATTGTATGAATCCATAATATGAATTGCATCAGGTTGGCTACCCTCTGGTTATGTCAAAATAGCGACCTAGAAAATGGCCCAGTCGAAATAGTTGATTTACCCATGAATAGCATGGTGATTTTCAACAGCAAAACGTTAGTTTACCAGAGGGTAATCACCTCCCAAAAAAAAACGTTTGGTGAATCATTGGTTTCCCTACCATTTTCAGGGTCACACCCAATATCATCCGCCGCAGATTGGTGGAATCCACAATATGATTATCATTATTAGTAGTAATTAGAAGCATTATTATTATATATTGTTATAATAATAATTCTTATATTATACCATATTATACATATCTATCTATCTATCTATCTATCTGTCTGTCTGTCTGTCTGTCTGTCTATCTATCTATCTATCTATCTATCTATCTATCTCTTCTTATCTTATCTATAGGTATCCTTATTGATGATGCTTAAATCACATCTTGCTTGGTGAAATCCAGAAATGACCAGCTTCAGCAGGCTCCGCCTCCCGCACTGCCGCTCGCAAAGCTTGATCCCGCAGTAGGATCGAGACGTCCGTCTGGACAAGGCAGAACGACGGTACCGGCTTTCTTCCCAGCCGTTGAGTCATGGCTTAGTCATGGCTTACCCTCTGGTAATTTAACATTTTGCTATGGAAAATCACCATTTTTAATGGGTAAATCCACCTATAAATGGTCATTTTCAATAGCAAACTGTTAGTTTACCAGAGGGTAACAATACTCATGGCTTAGTAATCCCTTCCCCCGTGTATATTAAACACCCCCCAGACGAAACCATTGTGGATGTAGGGAATTTCCACATCATTGGGACCATTTATGCGGTGGTTAATATTAGGGTGATGGGATTAATGGCTTAACAATGGCGGAATAGTGGTTAATACTCGGAAATGGCTCAACTAATGGCTGATATCATCAGTTTTGATGCTGGCTTACAAATGATATAACAATAATGAGAATTGTAATTGATACATGATGATAATGGCTTATAATTACTGTATCACATTTTGATCATGGCTTATATTATATAATTGAGAATGATGGCGTAATTGTGAGAAATGATAAAATTGATAAAATCATTTTTTGCCCGACGAGTCCATGGTAAATATCATGATTGTTGAGGTTGACGATTGATTAATGATCGAACCATCCCGTGTAACATTACCCGGGATTCGACCCATCAATATGTGGCAGATTGCGAGCCGCGAGCCGACAAACTTTGAAACTTTGGATCTTCCACAGTTTGTTGGCAAATCTACGGGGAAAGTGCGATGATAAATCCCAAGGATATGATGGTTTTTTTTGAATGGTTCCTTTTTATGAGTGGTTGAAAGTCTCAACATTGTAACACTGGTTGGTGGTTGACCTACCCCTCTGAAAAATATGAGTTCGTCAGTTGGGATGATGACATTCCCAACATATGGAAAAATAGAATTCATGTTCCAAACCACCAATCAGAACATTTCTTTTCGAAGATTCACGGCTTGAGCGACTCGCGAGGTCCTGCTATCCGTCAGTTCTTTCTTCGAATCCAAATCCGGGGGCCCTTTTTAAAAGGTCAGGTCAGTCGGAGCCAAAACCTACATGAAACCAACACATCCAATGATCAATGGATTGGTTTAAGGGAAAATCTACAGGAAACCATGGTTTTTACCATCAAATAAAGGGCTTTCCTGTAAATTTTCCCATCATCCAATTCTATGAAATGACAAAATGTTTTGAAGTGCTATTACTCTCATTTACAGTGATGTCTCCTCATCCCAGAGGTCTGGGTGAGAAACTGCCCTCGGCAGATGACCCGAGGCTTATCAGTTGATAATCTCTGACCCAAAGATATCCTAGCTTCGAGCATTGACAGACTGGTCAGCAGTAGTCCATGACCCATCATTCTTTGATGCCAACTTCTTTTTCCCCTTTCCAACATCTTCCAACTGCTGGTTTTCTGAAAAAAAGCCATTAAATATCAAATTCCCCATCAAAAACCATTAAAAACAAACTAAAAAAACATATCAATCCCGCAAAATTCCCATAAAAAAACACTATCCTGAGATACAAAATAAACACCAGCAACACACACACACGCCATCCACACCTGGCCCGTGCTCCGTCCCTCATCCAGCAAGCCTGGCAGTATGCATACATACATATATATATAGGTATTAAAGATATATCTACATATATGTATACAATGTATACACAATATATATATACATATATATATACAATATATATATATACAATATATGCACAATATATTGACAATATATATATATACATACATTTGTATTTGGGAAAGAAAACGGAGTTATATATAGTTATATCTTACTTGTGGGATTGTCGGTTGATGCACATCGGATTCTTCGATCTGGGACCGCTCTTCCTGGTGCTTCTGCACACGATCTAAGACTGGGGCGGGAGACAAGCTGCCGCATTTGCACGCGACCTGAATCTTGACATGGTAAAGATGGTAAAGAATAGAGATGGGAATGGATCAAAAGCATTTTTGTTTGGTAAAGCAATGTTATCCAATAATCAACCACCCGTATTTTCCCGAGATGTTCATGGTTTATTGATGAATATTTATGAATATTCACGGTTTCCTGGTGATTTGCAACGGAAATCACCACCCATAGGGATCCTATTCCTTGTCTAACATGAGCGGTGAACAGAAAACATACACTCCAATGTCAAACATCGCGGGAAAATCCCCATCATAGATGACTCATGATGACTCTTTTTGGTGGATCTTCATGGATTCTTCATTGCCTGGTTGGTGGTTGACCTACCCCTCTGAATATGAGTTCGTCAGTTGGGATGATGAAATTCCCAATATATGGAAAGTCATAAAATTCCATGGTTCCAGTCACCACCATTTCCAGTTGCCATTCATTGCCACGTTTGACTACCAGGCTGTTGACCTTTCAAAAGAAAATTTTAGAAAACCCATGGGTTGAAACAACTCCCGCCAATGGCCAAGCTGCGATGTGTGATGATGGACTGATCAAACCAGGACCTTGGCTCTGATGGATTTTGTTCACAACAGGAAAGTGATGACAGGAATTTTGCATCTGAAAAAAATGGGACTAGTGACATGACTTGAACCCCTCCAAAACTAGGGCTGAGGTTCAGCTTTTTGTTGCTCTGTTTTCCAGTAATGTCGAGGGGAAGAAGCTTGGACCCTGCCAATCTTCTAATCTTCTAAGGCTTTGGCTGATGCGACGTTAGACCCAGCGTGGAAAGCCTCGGCTAAAAATCTCATTGCCAAGGCGCAGCAAAACCATGGCAGGAGGGGCCAGGAGGGGCTCCCTATCACTAGCTGCCTAGCTGTCCAGTCAGACCAACAAGCACATGGTTTTCAAAAATCAGGAGCCTCAAAGGGCCTCAAAACACGCTCAGTTTTGATATGATCAGTTGAGCAATGGGCAAGGTGCCCGATGGTGCCCCAAAACTATGGTGTTCTTTTTGGTGTTTGATGTTTCTTTTCGATATTTTTTCCTGTCTGGTTGGCGGTTTTAAGCATCTTGAAAAGTATTAGTCAATGGGAAGGATTATCCCATATATTGTGGAAAATAAAAGTCATGTTCCAAACCACCAACCAGCTATAGTTTTCATTGGTTTTTCGATTGTTTCATGTTGCAACCCATACTGCCAGCTCTGCCCCCAACCGGGTTCTTCCAGGCGCAAACTCAGACTCCAGGCTGATCAGGTTGGCGAAGTAAAAAGAGTAGGAACTCCAAGACATAGAGGCCACCTTTTAGGACCCTCTGGTAAACTACCAGTTTAAGCTATAGAAAATAGATGAAAATAGCCAAGTTGGTGGTTGACCTATCCCTCTGAAAAATATGAGTGAAAGTCAGTTGGGATGATGATTCCATTCCCAACTGAATGGAAAGTCATCAAATTCCATGGTTCCAAACCACCAACCAGATAGTTGGTTTACCGAACTTAAAGATGGTGATTTTCCAGTTCGCAAACGGTTAGTTTACCAGAGGGTAAGTCATAGTTTAACGATCTCCACGTCACCATGATGATGATCAAATTGAATAAATTGGCTCGAATTGACATGGTCTGACTTGGATGACTGGGGGACCTCCGTTTTAAACTTTTAAATCTCCAGGTGAAAAAGTTGTTCACACTGTGAGTTCAGACTGCCAGCTCAAACCACTTGAAACCACCGACCAAACTCAGCAATTTTAGCATGGCACCCGCCATGCTAAAAGTTGCTTCAAAGAGGAAACAGGGCCAAAATGGGCCAAATCCTGATTCCTGATCCCTAAAAAGTTGGATTAGAGAACATGTTGAGTCTCGGTTAAGTCCACCATGGACGATCTTGGCAATTCGCCACTGGACTGGTGAAATGGCCATCTGGGCCTCTGTCATCAAACATGGCGGAAAGTGCCCGAAGTAAATGGAGGCTTTGTAGCTCGGAAAAGCCGTCAATGAGGTAAATTTTGCATTGCAATCTTTGATTACTGGAGGGTATCAATGGGTTTTAGATGGGTTTTAGGGGATTTGTCTCAAGGACACCTGATTTTTACCATTTTTTTATGCAGATAAAACTGGCGATTTCTTACCTTCATCCAAGTCTGGGTTGTTTTGGGTCCATCTCCATGACGCTGCTGCCCAGCTACAGTCGTAGACATTCCTTAGCTCAAACCACGAGGTGACTCTCTGAGGCCTGATATCTGTTAGATGATATGGGTAATGGACACTTTCCATCGGCTAATCGGCTAAATCTAAACACCAATGAAATCCAATGAATCTATAGCACCCACAAAAATTAGATGCCGAAATTCTTGTTTCCCGGATGGTGGTTCGATCCGTTTTTTCTCCATACTGCTAAGTTAACATAGCTATTGAAAAATGACCATTTATAGTTGATTTACGTATTCAAAATGGTGATTTCCTATATAGCTATGTTAGTTTACCAGAGGGTAATATTCAGGTTTCTAACTCTTCTATCGACCTTTGGGTGTGGTATTTTAATTTAGATCAGTGATGTAATCCCATACCCTGTTCATATCAAACAGCCCCATTCCATGGCTCTGAACAAAAAAAAATGGTTTCATCCATGGTTTCTGGAGGTTGTTTCATATGAGCGGGGGATTGGATTTGTTGACCAGATATTGGCAATTTCATGGTCTTTTTGTGTTATGAGTGTTATTGACCATTCATAGCGTTAACCATGATTCATAATGTTTATTAACTATTATTAAGCACTAAGCACTAATAAACCGTGATTGAGTAGATAGACTTTTCATAGCAATAGTTAACCATTCGAAAAATCATGTTGATTAACCATTCTCAACCACTAACCATCAACCACAACTAATTATCAACAATAAAAAATGCTTTCTGGTGCTTAATTAGTGTTGCTGGATGGTTTTTTTTGGGGGTTGCTGGGATGATTGTTACTATGACTGGGATCATTCCCTCATTCCCTGCCATCATATCGCCCCAAAAAAGCCGAAACTCTGTTGCTTTGGAACGTCTCCGTCAATGGCCTGCATGTTTTCCAGCCCCGAGACTGCCTCGGAGGGGGAGAGAAATGCCTGGAGATACCTGGACTCCATCAACAAACTCCGAGAACTCGTGGTTTTTGTTGGATTGCTATGGTAACTGGGCTTCAACTGCCAGAAGGATCCTGAATTTAGGTATATTTAGGGGATATGTCTATTATGTCTTGTTGGCCCAGATTCTGCCCAGATGTCTGGGCAACACCGAGATTTCTCGAGTCCAAAAAATGTCCACAAAATGTCCAAATCTCCCACTGAGCTGGTGACTCGTTTCCATCGGGCGATATTGGCGGGACTATATTCAGCACCCTCAGGTTTTTCAGCCCTGGAAAAGCCCCAGGTTTGGTCGAAATTTGGGAGAAATCATGGTCTACCCTCTGTGGTAGTTACATACCAAAAAACCATGGAAAATCACCATGTTTAATGGGTAAATCAACTATTTCGACCGGGCCATCTATACCATGTCGCTTTTTGTATGTTTCCCAGAGGGTAATGGTTCAAAAAACGGCGCCATATGAATGATCAATGGTTGCTAATCTCATCCCCCTTCATAAAGTTGCTGTTTAAGATGCAGCGGGGGATGGGATTCAAATAATATATATAAAAGTCCCGAAAAAATATCCAAACATATAATTATATATATACACATCTATAATATATATCTTAAACATCCAAACATATATATTTTAAGCATCCCATCTCAAATGTCTTAACATTCATATGTTAACATATTAGGATCAACCGTACCATCCAAACATCCCAGACCTGGAGGTGCAGCCGCAGCTTCTGAGTCGTCGACGTTGCAGCTGTTGTTGTAGAGCTCACGGCGAAGATAGCCCTGCGCCCAGCTGGTTCCAGCTATCATCCCATCTCGCGGCTCTCGCGATGGTTCCAGCAACCAATATACACTCAACCAACCAAGCGTTGGAACACCAAAATATCCCAGCTCCCACCTAATATCTCATGAAATCTCATGAATTTAAACATCTTGGGAGCCTACCAAAACCAGTTTGATCCAGTTTGACACATACTGTAGATGACTTTTTATCATTGTTCCATCCATTTCTATCATCCATTTCTATCCTTCTTCCATCCCCATCCTCCGTTCGCATTTTTTCGCCACAAAACTTGTGCCGCGGTTCCGGTTCGCACGCGTTGACTTCGCTTAAAGCGAGGTCCTGGAGGTGGTTTTGGTCAAGTTCATCACCTGCAACATCTCTGGGTCGTTGCACTTCTCTGGGAGGTCGTAATCGAACATGACATAATCCGAAAAGAGCAACCTGTCAACGGCGGTTGATGTGTTTTGAGGTTTTTTGGGGCAGTTTTACATAGTTTTATGAGTATAACTATGGTATAACTATGGTATAACTATGGTATAACTATGGTATAACTATGATTCACTGTGGTAATCACATCCATAAGTTGGGATATGACCCCTACAACTATGGTTACAGAGCCCACATTTTAATGTTACAGAGCCCTCTCCCAAATGGTGGATCTGACATTTGGGATGGGATGGGATTGTAGCAAATTCTTAGGGTGAGGGATGAAGAAAATGGACATTTGTTATAACAATAGATAGTGATAGAGAACGGATATCCCAATAAAATGCACTATCCAAATGAATTCTTAGTTAGCATTTGGTATAACAATAGATGATTAGAGAACGGATATTTATAGGAATAATAAGACGTAGGTATAAAGATATATAGATTGTATATTACATTATTCATGTATTAGAATAATGATGTGCGGAAAGATGTCCAGAATACACAGTGTAATATACATAAATCATAAAATTGTTTGTCTTACCTGAGAAACCTTCCAACAGACTTCGTTTGAGCAACTTGAAATACAGTTTGTTTAAAATTTAAAAGGCACAACTAAATTGAGAATCAAAACTTGAAGCTCTAAACATGTTTTTTCTCCAGTTCAGACATATCCAGATATTGGACAAGCCACCTCTTGTCGTATCACGACATTTTTTTTAGGATCATTGCTTTGATGTGGCGATCTCAAATCTTCAAATTTCCCCTAAAATGGATATATTGGATGTACTTGGATGGGGATATACTGGGAACATAATGGGGGTTTAATGCGGATGTATAACCAACCATGTTTTGCAGTGGATGGGAGCTTCAGATTTAAAAGATGCTTTATCATGTTTTTTTCAACATATTAGATAATTAAGTTGTAATGGTTGGATTTTCCCTGAATTTTCCCCAATGATTTCTTCCTTTCCAACATCCTCTTTTTTTCCTTGATAATTATCCATGATGCCCAGCCACCAGCAAAATGCTCGCAGATAAGCGAAGTCATCGGAGTGCAGGACCATCTGGAAAACAACGAAGCCGGAGGTGCCCATGTTCCATTGCCAGGGGGGTAAATCTGGAATTATGATCAGTTGCTCTGGAAAAGAAAAAAAACACTATTTTGGGATAGTTACCCCTACCAAGCATCATTCCAGTCACGGATGTCACGGTGAGGTCGTTATGATTTATCCAGATGGATTTGAGAACAAATCTACCAGGGGACCATAGTTTTGACCATCAAATATGGACGATGATGGACCTCAATTGAGTTGCCGGAACTCGAGAAAAATCCAGAAACCCGGGATTTTTCTAGTGCAACGACTCGGCGATGAAAAAATGCCGCCACTCTGTGCGGTGCCAATTGGAAGCAATGTTTACCTGGTTTACCTCATAATTCTCACTTTGCAAACGATCCACACACAAGAAAAACAAAGAAACTGGTGAATTTTCCGCAGGTTGCTTGGGTCAACAACTCTTCTACAATGTCAAAACGTGTAAATTGCTACCTGCAATGGGATTAAACATCGCCAGAACAACCCGAAAAGCCGCATCCTCAAGGTACAATGATGTTGTTCACCCAGTTTCCTTAGAAAAGCCTCCCGTTTCTGGGGTACCCTGCGGTAATCAAACGTCCGTGGCAATGGAAAATCCCGAACTAAATGGAAGTTTTTAGGCGAAAATCATATATATATATAATTATCTATCTATCTATCTATCTATCTATCTATCTATCTATCTATCTATCTATATGTGTGTGTGTGTGCGTGTGCGTGTGCGTGTGGGTGGTGTGGGTGTGGGTGTGGGTGTGGGTGTGGGTGTGGGTGTGGGTGTGGGTGTGGGTGTGGGTGTGGGTGTGGGTGTGGGTGTGGGTGTGGATGTGTGGGTGTGTGTGTGTGTGTGTGATTGATTGCCCATTGCCATGTTTGATTGCCGGATCGTATTTCAAGAGAAAAAACACATGGGTGTCCTGCAGATTTCAGTCGGAAAAATCCTATTTGAGGCACGGCTCGGAATCGCAAAGCAAGAAATGCATGGTTTGGTACTAACGCAAGGGTTGATAAATGTCCTGTTTTGGTGATTGTGAACACTTGGAAAAATATGGAAAAATTATCTGCTGGAAATTATCACTGTTCCATCTTTGGGTGATATGAAAAATGAGCATCTTCAATGACATTTACCAACCCGCGGTTGGTGAAAAAAACGCAAAAATCACCGATTTCCCGGTCTCACCTTGATTGGTTTAAGGGAAAATCTACAGGAAACCATAGATGTTCCCACTAAATATGGGGTTTTCCTGTAAATTTTCCCTTAAACCAATCCATTGACGGTCTCACCTTGATATTCTGCATATGTTGCTTTGAGGTCGATGTGACGTGCGTGTCCACCGACAACAAACGAGAGCCGGCGAAGTTGAAGAACTTGGTCAAAGCTTCCTTGTGATTACCTCGCTTTTTCACGGTGAGAACATGGTGAGAGCATGATTTACTGGGATTTTAATGGGATTTTAATGGGATTTTAATATAATGGGATTGTTATAGTAGGAAATAATGAGATATACCCTCTGGTAATTTCACAGGTTGCTATGGAGAATGGCCTATAGATGATTTACCTATTAAAATGCTGATTTTCCATAGCTACATTGAGTTAATAGAGGGTACAGCCCGAAATTTCAACATGGAACCCCAAAAATGCTGTCTGGAAGATAAACAGGCTAAAACATATATATGGATTCCATGTTGAGCTTACGGGGATGTAATTATGTAAAATATTAATGAAGATTATGGAATGTATTCAGGGTTTCTGATATTTGAATCTGAGGATTCAACATGATGACGGGGATTCTCACCGGGCGTCCCCACCATTCCAAAATATTCCAAAGCACCAGCCCGAATCCCAAAACGTCATCGATTGGTTGAGGTGTCAGTTGTTTGGCGAGTGTTGACTGGGTGGAGTTTTTCATACGTTTAATGATTTCAAGGGTCCAGAAACGGCTCATATAACCCACGTAATGGGATATATATGGATATTTTTCAAGGAATGTAATCAATGGGAATTCCAGGATCCTAAAATGGAGGTACTGTACCATATAAGGCCATATTTTGGGGGTAGGTACCTCCATTTTAGGATCTGAAATTCCCATTGATGTAATGGGATATGATGGGATTGATTTTTCGATATCATTGGCTTCAGATTTATGAGCAAAAAAACACTGGACAGCTCATAGATCATGATATTCCATGATGATCCCCAAAGAAAAGGGGAGCATAACCCCGGAAACAAAAACTACCAACTGGTGTTTTTGAAACTGCTGGATGTGCTTAGTTGAGGATAAACAACAAATTGGAGATGACTTTGTAAACTCATTTAAGTGAGTTTCAGGAAACACTCGGGCACAAAGGGACTAATTATTGGCAATTTTGGTGATTTTTTGAACATTCATGGAAGATGCTGAAAGCCGACAGCCAAACTCTTTGCTCGTTCCGTCCCTTGGCGTCATCGAAAAACGTGCCTCGAAAAAAACCCAACCCAGCTATGGTTCGAACTTCGAACCCCCCCAGTTTGGGTACAAGGCCACCATTCCAATCCCGACTAAAAAAGGATGCTGCCAGCGAGCCTTCCGTTGGGTGCTGCCCCAAATCGTTGGAAAATGGTGTGTTGGCGGCATCGCACTGCTTTGATTCCATGAATCTCTTCCAATCGTCTAAGATGTGCTCGGTCTTACCTTGGAAGTAAACCAAAAAAAAACTGGCCAAGAGACATCGGATTTTTTTTCGCGCCCATATTTTTGCACTTCTCGTTTCTGGGAATTTACCCTCCGGCAAACTGATTAACATAATTAGCTATATAGAAAATGGACAGTTTTAATAAATGATTTACCTATTAAAATTGATGGTGATTTTCCATAGCCAACTGTTAGTTTACTGGAGGGTATGTGGATTTAATTACATGGTCTTGCTAGGAAAAAAGCTTCAAGATCATCTTCCGCGCGTCAAAGTTGCCAATGAAATCGATCGGAAGACCACAGTTCGGCGAGAAGGGAGCGAAGTATTCGGATTGAGGTTTCACGTGACCTGGCAGCCATACCAATGGCAGAGAATGGGGCAAAAATGAAAGGAGAAGTTGATAAAGCAAAAGTTGGTCCCATGGAAAGTTAACTTGAAATTCTTCTGTGAACAAAAAGATGTCGGAATTCCCCACCAAGTGACCATTATAGATGGCACCATCTTCAAAGTATCGGTCCATAAAGATCTTGGCCCTGGCCATTGTTCCTGACTCGGCTTTCTTCAGGAAATCATATCGCCCACCCTTGTAGGTGCGTTCAATCTCAGCATAGCCAGAAATCAGCCTGCAGAAGATGCCATTTACGGCGATTTTGGCAGTTGCTTGGCATATTTTGAGAATTTGTTTGACTCCAAAAAAGGGCGATGGAGCTTGCAAACATACAGAATGCCATTCCAACACCCCAAACAAACGATCATGAATGACTAGAGTAAGAAATTTCTCCATACAGACTAGTTTCAGCTAGTACTTCCCCATTTTGGACATCTTTATACCAGTTTAAACATCACCATTCTTGACATCACCAGTTTTCCGCTTCTCCGTCCTGCTCAAGGGGTCTCGAACAAAGGTGAAGCTGCTTCGTTGCTCTCTTGGCACTTGATCTAATCCCAGCTTTTCACACCAAGCCTTGGAAAGAGCTCGAAACATCGTGGTGAAAACCAACCAGGTGAAAACCAGGTGAAAACCACTGCGAAAAATATCAGCAGTGGATGGATGTGTAAAGGCCAACGTGGTTGCCTTTAACCAAGGTTTTTGGGGATTTAACCGAATTTAACCACCATGAAAATTGGGAGTTCACAAGAAACAAATGGTGATTCGGAGTCTGGCACGGGATTTAGTCAATCAGCCAATTAGCGAATCAAATACTGCGGATGAGGATTGAACTTGCCATATCATCAACTCGCTGGCCATCTCAGGAACCGATTGATTGGAGGTACCTACCATATATAAGGCTTATTTTTCAGGCCTAAACTTCAGGGAATATCCCCACAATTCAGATGGCCTGAAATATGGCACGTGTACGTACCTCCATCAATTGGATATAATTGGATCCTGAAGATCTCCCATTGATCCTTTCGGATATCTTAGTGTTATCCTCTGGTAAACATACCAAAAAACTATGGAAAAACACCATGTTTAATGGGCATATCGGCATATCATCAACTGTAAGCAGGAATATCTACCGGGGATAGATGGATGTACCAGTGGGGACCATGGGATGATTCTCGGTTCTCGGTCTACCATCAGGGATGGGTCCTGGGATGACAGCCTAGCCAGTGATATGACATGAGTTTGTCCAAAAAGATTGAGTTGAATAGAATTGATTCCCAGTTGGTGGCAATCTGTTGCTTTTTTGGAGGCTGGAAATTATGATTAACCAGAAGATTTAGTGGACCCCGTTTTTAGACAAGCCAACATTTCCGGAGAAACATCTAACGTATGTTATTATTAGACGAGGAGGAAACAAATGAAAAAAAACACCAGTATTGAAAAGATTACATGTTCTTTGGGTGGGTAACTTTGATATATCTTGATGCTTTGTTAAGAAGTGCCACCACCGGCATGCCGGCTCTTTTCGAACTGGAAAAATGTTGGTATTTACCAATCGCTTTAATCCCCAAGCAGAGCCGCATAATCGTCTTCGAAGGCCTCTACCATGGTGTAGCTGTTGGCGACCCTTTCCAAATTTTCCATGGATGCCCAACCCGCTGACTTCCACATGTGTAGCAAGAACATGGTGTAGTTGGTCTGGCCACTGCAATTCATTTTAGCCTTCACCACCTGTGGGTGGAAGTCCATGGGTTCCCAAGGTTTGTGGTGCCAATTGATCAAATGGGTGACATAAGGCCACACTCGATACCTCACTTGCTTCAGGGCTGGTAGGCATTCTACGGAAGACTTCAAGCATTCCTGCGGCTGGGGAAGGATCAAGGCAAGCCGCAAAAAACGGGTGGACTCAAAATTTCATTGCCATTAAGTTTGGGATGTCTAAACATTGAAAATCATTGAAAATTACCATAAGCTATCCTCGCCTTAAAATATTTAGAAACTCATCTGCGGGCCCCACTTCTGAATGCAATTCGTGTGTCTGTGGTATAAAACATACCTCCATCATCGCTGTTTCATATCCCCTTTGGTCATCAAGAATCGAATAATGCCGACATCATCGCTTGCAATCGGGGCCTTGTTTTTTCCCAAAGAAGCAGTTTCTTTCCAAAAGACCTTCATGAAAGTAAGAAAGTAACACAGCATCCTCATCCAAAAACCCCCCCAGTTTCCCACATCCTGCTTAGCCTGCACAAGTCGATCGGCCAAATCCTTCAAGCCTTCTGGGCGTCGGTCTGGCCCTCCCTGGATCTTGGTCGTCTTCCCGAAACCTGATTGCATCAACTGGCTGCCATCACAGCCATCGTTGCCGCAAACGGCACTGACATCATCACTGGCTGCCAGAGTCAACACCTTGGAATCTCGGGATTTTGAGATGCACATGGAAGTGGCCGGGGGTAAAATAACGGAAAATGACGTAGCAACATGTTCGATAAATAGGAGATCTGATATGGCAGTGTGTCAAAACCTTGTACCCCTGGTGAACATCAAAATAGCTGGTAAATGGATGTTCATCCCCCTAAAAATGGTATTAATAGGTATTGACCCATACCCATATGGTTTTCTGCTGATTGAAACCATTTAAAAAATCCAGGGAGTTTGGTTTCCAGCCTGCCATGTTTTTCAGCCAATTTTGGTTCCATTCTTGGGATGATCGGCCAATTTGGTTCGTGGTTTTTTGAAAGCAATGGCGGGACCACACATATCATCACGCAAACCACAAAACCCCTCCCAAAACCAGCATTCAGGTAGTAATCAATATTAGTCAATAAGTTTTGGAACAAATCTATACAAATCTATACATCAAATACATCAAACATCAAGTGACATCCATGCAGATTCACCATTAAAAACAAACGATCAGCCCAGTTCTTTGGCCACGCTGAGACGATGGTTCCACCAAGAGACTGGTAGCAGCAGCCAGCAGCGCATGTTGGATAGAGGAATAGGAACGAGTTCGATGAAAGGCTCGGTCTTTGTATGTAACTAGTAGCTGGGACAAGAAATGGCCGCGGGGAGCAACGCTTCTGAAAAACGCGTGGGTCATCATGGAACACCATGGAACCAAGTCAAACACCTCCACGAAAAAAGTAAAAATGGATATGCTGACGCACCTTGCGGCTTTGCCATTGGCATTGCCATTTTCAACAGTTTGGAAGTAGAATCCTTCTTTTGCAGGACAAATGCAACTATACTATCAGGTTATCTGACCATCTGTATCTTTAAACGCTATGTTCATTGTTTTCACAGTAAGGGGAACTCTAACATCTTCAATTTGTGTTTCGCATGGTTGTCTTGCAATATATACTAATATTATCTAATATTAATGCTATTGGTTTCTTTGGTGTTCAGCTCGTCGCTGCTATCCTTGTTGCCACCTGGGTGGTTGCTCCCGCTCTTCTAGTTTTTGGTCTGGTTGATTTCTTGGTTCCTCTTATTTTGTGTGTTTCAATGTGTCGTTTATTCAGTCTTGTTCTAGGTTGTTTCTGTGTGCTGATGTGTGTTGCTAGCGTGGTTTTGAGTGCAAATCACTGCCTTTGTTGCGAGGCGTTCCTGCCAAACTACAGTATCGATCGCGCGCCTTTTCGTGAGTGATAGATTTGCAAAAGAAAGCATCAGAATCTGTTCCAGTCAGGGCACAGCAGAAAAAAAAACACAAAATAATTGGTGCATGTTTCTGGGCGATTGGGTTCCCCCAGCGGAACCACGGCCTTCAGCAACTTGATGTGATCATCTTTGGGCACTGGCTCCCAAGCCGAGTCGAGGCAAACGATGCGAGGAGTGTCCTTCCAGTTTTTGAGAAGCACTTCTAACCCCCATTTGTTTTTTCCTGGGTCTCTGTAACCCATTCATTTTGGGAGTTTATTGGGGCGCGATTTATCAGGGGCGCCGTGTCTTAAGTGCCTTAGTTTCCGCAGCGTCTTCATGGTATTTGTCGCGCGTTGGAGCAATGAGGACTGAAAGTCGCTAGCGACGGCTGCTCCATCTCTCATCCAGACCGCAGAAACATGTTGAAGATTTTTGGAGCGCCATGTTCAACCAAGAGACCGCCAAGTTGTTCAAATGGTTTTTGAGGACCACCACAAACATGTTCACAAGGAAAATTGTGCATTTTTGAACGCATGGGCTCCAAATAGAATCTACAGGAGACATCAGGAAACCTACGGGTTTCTATCCCCAAGTTCCGCGATTTTTATGCCAGGGTTTCTAGAAACTGATTCTGGACATGATGCATTACATACACGAAGTACAATCATACTCATTATGAGTAGTCATAGGTCAGCAATATTCTGCAATCATACCACCTCGGCTGGCTGGCAACGTGGCTGTGCTTTGTAAGATGCTTCTGTTCATCATGAAAGAAGGATCAACTCACAGCATTTGCCCCAGAATTTTCAGGGGAACTATTCCAAGTAGCTCCGGAGTGATAAACCATAGGGCTTTGAAATTGAGACGGTACAGTTGCAAATTTGAAATTGATCTGGAGGGGGACACCCACCCGAATTCAACCGAGGTTGATTCTTCAGGTTGATTCTTCCGAGGTTGACATTGAAGGGGAAGCGGCTAATATGAACAAAGATTGTAGATACCATGGGCCGTACGACAACCTTTTGAGATGATCCTTGATGGAAGTTTCTGAAAATCGGTTATCCCAAAACCATGGGTTTCAATACTAAAATGGTCCAAGTTTGGATGCTTACCCCCCATTTTTTGGGAAACCTCCACAGGGGAATAACATGCTGTGTCCGGCTTTAGGCAAGTCCCATCACTCATGAGAAACTGTCCCAAACCCTCTCTCCCCGCCAAAAAATGAGGTGAACATCGCTAGCATTCCATCTGATTTCTTGGATTCCAATAGGTTGGACCATCCATGACCATCCTAAAATTGGGCTTTGTGTTGGACACCGGCTGGTTCTTCCCAGAATCAAATCCGCAACTTGTTCGCCATCTACCGTCCCAAAAAAGGTCAACATGTGGGGGTTTACATCATCATCATCATCATCATCATCATCATCACTAGGGGTATACCGTATGCCTCATAATAAACCTCTATTAGTCTGCCACGTTAACAATGAGACTATAGAATTGGTAGTGACCATTCATAACAAGTATTAGTAAGCCGTTAAATGCCATTAAAAGCCACGAATAACCATCAAATAACCATGATTGAACCAATTATTTCACCATGATTAAGCCATTAATGACTTTTGCCAACCATGGTTAACCAGATGAATATACGTAGCGTTTACCACGTTCCAAACATAGTCCTGGAAATCAGGCTCCTCCTGATGCTGGGGCACCTCGTTTCCCATGACCATATAGGGATGGCATACGAAGAACCTCCGTGCCCGTGGTGCCGTGCCCGTGGTAAGTGGGATCTGGAGAAAAAAGACTAACTATCCAAAAATGACAATCATTATGATGGCAAGCTCATCATCCAAAATCATATCTTAGTCATTTTTCGTTGGCAAATGCCACTTGGACGGCCTGAAGAGCTAAACAATTTGGAAATTTCAGCCGAACATCCTGGAAATTGCCAACAAGCAGCACACACCAGTGGAGATTTGCCTGGAAAGCATGGCAAACACATCGATGGCTGGTGGACTGCTGTGGGGTCCAAGCAATTTCCGTGGGAAATCTGGCGCATTTTTTTTTCACATTCCGTTCATCCCAACAATGTCTCCCCATCCAGAGTCAGCTATGACTACCATGACATACCATGACCATTGATTTCTATTGATGTCTTGCACAAAAATCCCATGCATCATCTTCAACCTCATCTTCAATTTCTCCCTAAACATGATCTCCATTTTTTCCCGGAAGATCCTCTGTTTTTTGGACCAAAAACAACCCTACCTCGTTGACGGGGTAGACCAACACCCGTTGAGAGGCAACTCCCCCAGTGACCGTCCTAGAGTTTCCGTCATGGCTGGAAATCAGCCACTCAAATGGAGCTTCAAACGTGAAAATCAAGGAACGAAATGATAACTGGTTGGTGGTTGAGCCAGTCCTCCGAAAAATATGAAAGTCAGTTGGGATGACTATTCCCAATATATGGAAAAATAAAATTCATGTTCGAAGCCACCAACCAAATAATGATGGAGTTGTCCGATGTTTCCGTTTTCCATGATTTTTCCGGATGGTAAAGTGGACATCTGTTGGTTTCAGCTGCTCATTTTTCTGAAAATGCCAGAGCAGGAGAAAAAGGCTTATAAAACCCGAACTGCTAGGCAAGACTGCATGTTAATTTGGATTTGTTTGGCAGGTGGCAAATGACATTTACGATCTTTGTTTATGTCTTGCAAGGGTAGTAACGGGGGGTCATACTGGGGAGTGATGATGGTCACAACGCATCATCCTGAGCGGGAAGTGGAAGCAAGAGATAGCAACAAAAAGCCATAAATGAGGGCAAAACTATAACATACAGTATGAATACCGATTAATAATGATTAGTAAAAACTATTGACAATTGGTGGCCTAATGATGATTATTGACAGTCAATACTGGCAAATAACACCTTCCCCTAATATCAAATAACCCCTGGAAGCTATAGTTTAATAGGGGGTGAGACCACATTTGGGACCATAGTATCATAGAATGGGGGTGTTTATCATTAGGGGGATGGGCTTACAATAATTCCTGATATATGCAACCTCCAAAAAAAACAGTGCTTTACCATGAAAATGGAGATGTAACCAACCACAGAAATCAGAAATCGCCTCCAATCATCTACCAATATCGAAAATTCTTTGCCATATTTCCCCAATATATGGAAAGTCATAAAATTCATGTTCCAAACCACCAACCAGCTATAAATCTGGATAATGTGGGTAGAACAATCATAAACCATCCCAATTTACTCCCCAAACTCATCATCAACCAGCAGGGCTAACAGGAACACGCTCAACCAACCCTCTCCTTGTCCAGGTCTTTACGTTTTCCCAACCTTTCTCACCACCTCGGAGAGGTGCGCTTGGGATGAATGTAAAGGCC